ACAGCAGTGTTTCTCTCCTTGGCGGCCGGGAGCGGGAGGCTCCCAGAGCGCCCGGGAGAGTTTTTTTTTTTTTGACAGCAGCAGAGCCGCCGGACAATAGGAAACTATTGGGCAGAGCAAGCTGTCACTGCTAGCTCTGCACAAGCGTTTGCTATTTACTTTTTTAACTCTTTTTCTGTTCTGCTCGGTACCTCTGAGGGACCGAGCAGAACAGCCGAGCCGAATGCCGCTCGGCGGCATTTGGCTATTCACTCACTGCTGTTCGGGATCTTTAAGAATAGCCTGAACAGCAGTGAGTAGCCTGCCGGAGGTTCGGCTCAGCCGATCCAGATGTTGGATCGGCTGAGTCGAACTCCTTCTGCACTTCGGGTCGGCCGAACATGCTGAGAATGTTCGGCCGACCCAAAGCCACATGAAGCAAGCCGATGTACGGCTGATTTCAGCCGATGTGCTTTTCACTCACCTCATAGTTCTAGCCGACCTGTGACAATGAGACCGTCACAGGTCGGCTCAGTAGATCGTGAGGTGAGCGAACACTTACCGGCGTTAGCTCACCTCTCGATCCTGTCACAGCTCTGTGTTTTGACAGGGGAGGGGCTGGATTCCCCCCTCCCCGCTCCGATCCGCCAGTGCTGACTGGCAGATCAGACGGGGGAGGGGGTTGGTACAGCTGGCTCTGCCTCTAGATAGGCAGAGCCAGCTGTCACTCACGCAGCTGGGCGGTATGCTGTGGTGTCTCAGTATAACGCGAGCTTCAGCTCACGGTATACTGAGCTTAGGGTGACGGGAGGATGCTAGTGTGTGTCCTCCCATTACCCTAAGGCGAACTATGGGGAAAAGCCTTAACCCCCTTAGTTCTCCTTTAAATACACACTGCAATTAGAGTTAAACATGACATGAACCCTTGGGATGCAAAGAGAGAACCCAGTCACCTTGCTGAGCATTTCAGTTTTTCATCCAGGCATTATTGTGTTTGTAATCCCTTTTTTTTGTTTACACTGCAATGTGGACTCCTTGATAGTGGATGTATCAGTGTTAGTACTAACACCAACAATCAGATTAATTATTGGTGAAGGATAGCATGCACTTTGCTGCTCTTGATTAATCAAGGTACGAGCAATCGCAAACAATCAATTCATCATCAATTAAAATATTGAACAATCTATCACACACAGTACTGTTCTGCACATGGCAATGGACTGAATATATTGATCAATAATATGACCTGTTAGTGAAAAATCAAAATGATCAACTAAAATTATAATTTAATTGATCTGTATTAGGATCAGTTCTGTCAACTTAGGATCATGTTACGGTATGTCAGTGGTATTTTGTAGGATAGGCAGCATTAACAGTCATGTAGAACCATCTGGATTTAAAGAAAAATGGTTTGGTAGCTACACGACATTCAATTGCTAGGATGAATAAAAGCCATGAATCAGAAAAGCCACTGAGCAAAAGATGACTCAGTCAGTCTCAAAAGGGTCAAAAAGGGCTTTAGAATTCAATCCCAGCTGTACTAACGTCTTAATGTATATGGTTTATAGAGTCTAAAATTAAAACATAGCATAATTTAATCCATTCTTTAAAAGTAAATTAACTCACCAACTGGAGAAAATGCAGCCAGCTTGGCACTTGGCATATTAGCTACAATAAAAGCCAATCTGAAAAAAAGAAAATGAAACACGTTAAATATAAAATACTATTCTTATTGTGGTGTCATACTGAATAATGACAACACAAAACAGTAAGGACTGGAGGGTCTTGGTCTAATTTGCCATTAGGGTTGAATTACAAAGGAGTAGAGACCTGGCAAAGCAAATGTTCACATAATTTTGTGAAAAAGGTGAAGCTGCTTTCACTTCATTCTTCCAGTCATGTACATCATAAAAAAATCTGTTTTGTTTATTTTCCTTACATATGTTTTGTCATGCAATTGAACATTTTTTCTCCTTGATCGCTTTGCTAAGTGAACATTAACAATGGCTTTAGTAAAACTAGCTCAGTATCTGTTAACTAATAATTTTCTGATTATCCCAGTATATGTGGCTTCATTATATTTATCCAAGCAAATTTTTATTGCCTTTACATATGTTTTGAAATTCAGTTGAACCTAGTTTCTCCATATTCACTTAGCTAAGTTGAGCCTTAAGTACTCCTTTAGTAAATCAAGCCCAATATACTGTATGTTAAGTAACAACACAAATCTGGCTGTGGTCAACACACTGGGGTTATTTACTAAAGGTGTAGAGATGTTTCACTTAGCAAAGTAAATGTTCATCTACCTTAGTGAACACAGAGAAACTGTGTTCAAATGAATGGCCGATCATGTATAAGGGAAATGTTAAAAACAGGCTTTACTTGCACATGATTGGATGATTGAAGTGAAGTTACATCATCAAGCTAAGTTAACATTCATTTGGTAAAGTAACCATTTAATTGTCTAACTTAACAATCTCTATTTCCTTGGTAAATAAATCCAAAACAGTTTATATATATATA